GTGAAGCAATGTATTCTGAGGATTTACACAGTGCCTGGCACATAGTAAGAAGTAAATAAATTTTTGTGGAACAAATGAAAGATTCCTGAACCTAACCACTTTCCTTCATTCTTTTTTTTTTTTTTTAATTTATTTATTATTATTATACTTTAAGTTGTAGGGTACATGTGCATAACGTGCAGGTTTGTTACATATGTATACTTGTGCCATGGTGGTGTGCTGCACCCATCAACTCGTCATTTACATCAGGTATAACTCCCAATGCAATCCCTCCCCCCTCCCCCCTCCCCATGATAGGCCCCTGTGTGTGATGTTCCCCTTCCTGAGTCCAAGTGTTCTCATTGTTCAGTTCCCACCTATGAGTGAGAACATGCGGTGTTTGGTTTTCTGTTCTTGTGATAGTTTGCTAAGAATGATGGTTTCCAGCTGCATCCATGTCCCTACAAAGGACGCAAACTCATCCTTTTTGATGGCTGCATAGTATTCCATGGTGTATATGTGCCACATTTTCTTAATCCAATCTGTCACTGATGGACATTTGGGTTGATTCCAAGTCTTTGCTATTGTGAATAGTGCCGCAATAAATATACGTGTGCATGTGTCTTTATAGCAGCATAATTTATAATCCTTTGGGTATATCCCCAGTAATGGGATGGCTGGGTCATATGGTACATCTAGTTCTAGATCCTTGAGGAATCGCCATACTGTTTTCCATAATGGTTGAACTAGTTTACAGTCCCACCAACAGTGTAAAAGCGTTCCTATTTCTCCACATCCTCTCCAGCACCTGTTGTTTCCTGACTTTTTAATGATCGCCATTCTAACTGGTGTGAGATGGTATCTCATTGTGGTTTTGATTTGCATTTCTCTGATGGCCAGTGATGATGAGCATTTTTTCATGTGTCTGTTGGCTGTATGAATGTCTTCTTTTGAGAAATGTCTGTTCATATCCTTTGCCCACTTTTTGATGGGGTTGTTTGTTTTTTTCTTGTAAATTTGTTTGAGTTCTTTGTAGGTTCTGGATATTAGCCCTTTGTCAGATGAGTAGATTGCAAAAATGTTCTCCCATTCTGTAGGTTGCCTGTTCACTCTGATGGTAGTTTCTTTTGCTGTGCAGAAGCTCTTTAGTTTAATGAGATCCCATTTGTCAATTTTGGCTTTTGCTGCCGTTGCTTTTGGTGTTTTAGACATGAAGTCTTTGCCCATGCCTATGTCCTGAATGGTACTACCTAGGTTTTCCTCTAGGATTTTTATGGTATTAGGTCTAACATTTAAGTCTCTAATCCACCTTGAATTAATTTTCGTATAAGGAGTAAGGAAAGGATCCAGTTTCAGCTTTCTACTTATGGCTAGTCCTTCATTCTTATGACCAATACCATAATCTAAGCCATCAACATCTCCACCTATAGTTCTACAATAGCCTCCTAACTTATCTGCTGCTACTCTTGACACCACAACTATCCACTCAATAGCCTATTTGCTATATTGAAACTAACTAGTGGATTCCAATCACTTAGGATAAAATAAAGTCCTTTATACTGGCCTGCAAATAAATCTTGAAATTACCTATTCTTCAACCTCATTTTCTACTTTTTTGTCCCTCTCATTCTCTACTATATTCACAGGTTTCCATGTTTAAGCATAGTAGGTGCTCAATAAACATTTGTTGAATGAATAAATATGTATATTTAACCTGTGAGTAGTCTAATCATGACAGGAAGTGAGATTGTGCAGAAATTTGTTTTACCCCGTCTCTCTCCCTTTGAGAGCTAAATTCTCAAGTAACCTATACTTGCTTATTCCATATCCTAACCTACTTTAAACTACTGCAATCTGGTTTCTTCCCAAATGCTGATTTGAAAATATTCATGACAAGATAATCAGTAAACTCAATGGACCATTCTTCTATTTTATTAATTTTTGCTCTTCGTGTTTTTTTCACTCCTTCTACACTTTTTGGATTTAATTTCTTATTCTTCATTCTATCTCCATGAAATAGATTCTTAGATAATCAATTTTCAGCTTTCTATCTTTATAAAATGCATTTGAAGTATACATTTTTCACTAAGCATGGCTTTAGCTCAGTTCATATATTTTGATATGTACAATTTATCTTTCAATTCAAAATATTTTCTAACTTCGAATGTGAATTCTTTTTGACTCCTGAATTATTTCAGAAGTATTTGGCTATTTCCCAATTTATAGAGATGTTCTAGTTATCTTTGTACCATTGATTTTTAGCCTAATTCTATTTAATCAGATAATATGATTTGAGTGGTTTGATATTTGTTATGAAGTGCGTTATGGTCCAACTTATGGTAAATGTACCAAAATGTTTCTTCTGACTTGAAAAGTATGTGTTTACTGCATTTGAGGGTGTAGTTTGTTAATTATGTTATTAAATATTTTATATCCTTACTGATCTTTTTGTCTGCTTTGTTTCTATCAGTTGCTAAGAGAGGTATGTTAAAATTCCTCACTATGAGTGTGAGTTTGTCTATTTCTTCTTTATATTTGTCAATTTAAACTTGGTGTATTCTGAGGCCATGTTATTCGTTGTATACGTATCTATAGTAATCACATTCCCCTATTGAAATGATCCTTTTAATTATGAAATATCTCTATTTCTAGTAATAATTTTGGTCTTAAAGTCTACTTTATCTAATATTAATGGAGCTAAACTGGCTTTATTTGGTTAGCGTTAGCATGATATATCTTTATCCACAGTTACTTTGAAGCTTTCTGTGTCTTGATATTATAGGTGTGCCTATTGGAGGCAGACTAGAGTTGAGTTTTATTTTTTAATTTAATCTGAAAATGTTTGTCTTTTAATAGAGGTATTTATTCTATTTTCCTTCACTGTATTTCCAATATATTTGGGTTTAATCTACCACTTCTCTATTTGCTTTCTCTTTACCTGTCTTGTTCTGCATTCCCTCTTTCTTTTAGATTGATTTTGTCTTTTTATTATTCCATATCCACCCCCACTTGTTTGCTAGTTATACTTTTTAAAAAATTAGTCTTTAATATCTGTTATTATGTAATGCCAGACATTGCTAATTGATGACAGATCTCATTCCCACAGAGCCCAGGTACAGTCTAAGAATCCTTCACACAGTAATTAAAAAAATCCCTAACAATTATTTAGAATTGTGAAGCAAAATGAAACCCATTTTCCATCTCTGGTCTAGGAGAGCATGCAGTCAGTAAGCCAGGATAGTGTTTCTTAAAGTTATCTCATCCTAAGAATCACCTAGAGTGCTTATTAAGAGTACAGATTCTTGTATTCCACCCAACTTTATAAATCACCATCTGAAAGGAATTTTACTGAGAATTAGTACGTTTCAGAGGGGTCCTAGGTGAGTCTTATTACGATAAGGTAAGTTTGGGAAACCTGAGCAGTATTACCATATGTAAAAGAAGTTGTTGAAGGACTTAAACCATCCACTGAGGCGGTTGCAGCATGAGTTCTATACTGTTTTGTGTTGAAATACCATCATAATGTAAGAATATTTTCTGGGTGGCACAAGTGATCCTGAACTCTTGCTGCTGTGTGCTGAACTTCTGTGAATGTGATTAAAGAAACGATAGCACCAACAAGGAGGCAGTGAGGAGAAAATTGAGAAAGGCACAACATTAAAAGGTAACGTACAGCAAAGAGGATATTTGTGCTTGTTTACTTGTTCTCCTTATCTATGGCAGGACAGAATGTTCCTGAGAGGTAGCGAAGAGTGAGACAGGGCAGCTAACAGGACAGATTTATCTCTTTCAGCCCAGAGTATGTGCAGGAAAGCTTTTAGTGGATGCAGTCAGAACTCAGTGAGCTCATACCCACATAAACTCCTCAGTATAAGCAATGTCTCACAACAGATATTCAGCTTTACACCTACGTATTTGCAGCATTAATAGTGACTGTGGAATATTTTTGTTTTCATTCCAACAGAGTAGCATATAACTATTACTTCACCAGCAGGATTAGTTTATCAAATATTTTTTGGAACAGATTTTGAAAAATCTCTCTACTGTACATAAAATGTTAACTTTAGTTCTCAAGCAGTATTGTTACAGGAGGTAACATTCTCCATGTCAAAGGGTATGTTTCTCTCCCAGAGTTTGAAATGGAAAACAGGTGCAAGCCTTTTGATAGCCTCTACAAGATTGGGTTATAAAGCAGAACAGTGTTTTCCAAGCATGTCTGCACACCAGAATTGCCTGGGGAGCTGCAGAAATACGGAGGCTGGTGCCCCTCCTAACATTGAGATTTAATTGGTGTAAGGTTGTGTCTAAGGCTTGGGATTTTTAAAATACCCCCAGGCAATTCTAATGTGCAGGCAAGTTTGGGAACCACAGGACTGGAGATCTTGAGCTATGCATTTCAAACCTCAAGTCTCTGGACAGTGTAAAGCTTAGGATTCTGCACTAAAGTTTAAGTTGAGATCATAAGATCAGTCTCACTAGATTTATCATGTTGTAATCTACATGGGTATGGAATAATTTACATAAAACCAGAGCAATTGATGAAAAAAACTCAATCAGATCAGTGATGTACACACACACACACACACACACACACACACACACACACAGAGTCAATATTTAGAAGAACCAGGATTTTAAAGTAACTTGGTCAAATTGAGTATATATCCCCAATTAGAGTTGCTCGATAAATACAGGGAGCCCAGTTACATCCAAATTTCAGATAAACAATTTTTAGTATAAGTATGTCCCATGCAATATTTGGTATGTGCTTACACTAAAAATTGTTTGTTGTTATCTGAAATTCCAGTTTAACTCCATGACACGTATTTTTATCTGCTGAATCTGACAGTCCTCCCCAATTTTAAAGGCCTAAGCTGAGCACTAAGTCAGTGTAGTAGGACAAATCAGAACAAAAATTAACCTTGGCTTCTTGCTTATTGTGTGCTCTTCTGTTTTCTGAATTATATTGCCTGGCTAACCAACTCAAGCTCTACACTGTCTGAACTGAGGGGCAATCATACCTTATTCTGCCTCTTCTGTCTTCTTCGGAGGCGCAGGAACTCCTTGTGTTGCCTGGAGACAAAGTTCACCGCTGCGTATTCCAGTAGGGCAGCAAACACAAACAGAAGGCACACCGCCATCCAGATGTCAATCGCTTTTACATAGGAGACCTGAGAGAGACACACACAGAGAGAGAGACACACACACACACAGAGAGAGAGAGAGAGAGAGAGAGACTATGAAAGCTTGCCAGGAAACCAGATTCTTAATGGTGTGAGCAGCAAAATAACCTAATTTCCTTGGTCAAGGATTTTCCAGCGTTTTCTTAAGAAAGTGCTTAAGCCATTGATTCTACTTTGAAGATTCTGGGCAGAGCACTGAAAGTCACATGCCCCCGAACCAGTAGCTTTATTCCTGAGATCAGGTCCAAAGCTGACTTCAAGAATTTCCTTAATGACAGTAGATTTTAAGTGTTCTCACTACAAATAAATATGTGAAATAATGCATATGTTAAGTAGCTCAATTTAGACACTCCATGATGTGTACATATATTGAAACATGTTGTACACCATAAATATATACAATTTTTACTTGTCAATTAAAAATAATTATTCTCTTAATTAAAAAAAGAAAAATGAAACTTTGAGGCAAAATAGATGGGTGCTATTATTAAAACTGCTCACTTCTATTTTTTTAAATTAACGTTTAAAAACCAATATAATTAAGATAATTTCAAAACATGGATGAGAAATAAACTATGTATGGCCTTAGGCTCTTCAGAAGCCAATTTGTAATTTTCTTCAATTTACTGATCCTAACTGACATGAAAACACAGTTCTAAATAGTTTTAAATCCTCACAATTTAAGAGTATTCAACCAAAGTAAAATATCAAGAATCTAGCCTTGAGAAGGTATCTGGTTAAAAAGAAAACTTTGATAACCCTTCAGTGTTTGCTTAAGTGTTTAGTAAGTCTTACAATTTGACAACGTAGATTCTGAAAGTAAATACTTTCTACTTGCAATGGAAAATGCCCCTCATTCTCTCAACTTAAAATTATTTTTTCAACTGTAAAAGGGAAAAATAATTGGATGAAGTTACAAAGTATTGCATCCTGGACTACAAAGAATACTTACTAAACTACCATCTGAATGTGTACAATCCAGTTCTAATTTTTAAATAGTTTCCTGTATTTTGGTATTTGTCAAGTGCTTGCCAGCCAGTATTTTAAGCATTTTATGTGTGTGAATTTTTTAAGCCTTACAACAACTCATCCCAATTTTCTGATGAGAAAACTGGGGTAAAGAGGGATGAAATTATTACCCAAGGTCACAAAAGTAATAAATGACAGAGTCAAGATCGGAATTGGAACTCAGTCTGACTAGTGGATTTCCTTTCCGAACACACACAAACACATTGTTAGGATCATAGTTTGTATCTTTGCATTTACCTTTGACCTTTATACTGAGCATTTCCCATGTTATTTATTTTTCTTCTAGATCATAATTTCTAATGCTTGCCTAATGGTCTATACCATGATTGAACATTCACATTGTAAGACATATAGCTTACTTTCTATCTTATATTTTATGACTATAAATGTTGCTGTTACAAACATTCTTCTCCCAAAATATTTGACTGTGTCTCTGATTATTTGTTGGATCAACTTTTAGGTGAGTTACAGAAGTAAAGATATGAAAATAGGCTCTTGAATTAGAAGGTTTGCAGGAGCACAGTGGACATAAAAGCAGAGATTCTGGAGTAAGATGCCCCAATTAAGAAATGCTGCTCCGCTACTATCTGTATAATTCAGTTATGTTATATAACCTCTCTCTGCCTCTATTCCTCATCTTTAAAATAGGAACAATAATAGTACCTACCCCGTAGAGTTGTTAAGTGGATAAAATCACTTAATATACATAAAGATTTTAGAATAGTTTCAAACACAGAATAAGTCCTTATAAATGTTTGCAATTATTTGGCCAGAGAAGGGTGTGATTTTGTGAATGGATAAATTTTGGAAGGAACAAAAATTAATAAGGAACATAAAACTCACCCACAATCATAATATATTCTAATTATTATTATTATTATTAGAGACGGAGTCTCGCTCTGTCGCCCAGGCTGGAGTGCAGTGGCCGGATCTCAGCTCACTGCAAGCTCCGCCTCCCGGGTTCACGCCATTCTTCTGCCTCAGCCTCCCGAGTAGCTGGGACTACAGGCGCCCGCCACCTCGCCCGGCTAGTTTTTTGTATTTTTTAGTAGAGACGGGGTTTCACCGTGTTAGCCAGGATAGTCTCGATCTCCTGACCTCGTGATCCACCCGTCTCGGCCTCCCAAAGTGCTGGGATTACAGGCTTGAGCCACCGCGCCCGGCCTCTAATTATTGTTTTTAAGATCACCACCTGCCTTACACTATTTGTCTAAAACAATCCGAAGTACTTGTGTCAGTTCCACATGTATTGTGACAAAATGATCTAGCACTTTGTTATCTCCAGTCCTTGAAACATATTATTCTTCCTACCTGGGATGGTTATTCCCACTCCTTCTGATTAATAGTCGCCTCAGAATTCTTTAGGACTTCGCTGAGATATCAGTTCCCCTGGGAAGCATCCCCAACCTTTCTCCTTTCTCTCATCTGAGTTAGGGGCCACGTTTCTTTGTTCCCTTATCACTCTCTATTGAACTTATCTGTTCCTTCTTTGCCCACTTTTTACATGGAAGATGTCCCTCATCTCACTCAACTTACAATTTTATATACATATACAAATTTGTATATATATATACAAATTTATATATCTATATATACATATACACATATATGTGTATATATATATTTTGAGATGGTGTTTCACACTGTTGCCCAGGCTGGAGTGTGTGTGTGCGTGCATATATATATGTGTGTGCGTGTATATATATATATATACATACACACACACACACACATTTTGAGATGGTGTCTTCCACTGTTGCCTAGGCTGTAGTGCAGGGGCGCGATCTAGGCTCACTGCAACCTCTGCCTTCCAGGATCAAATGATTCTCCTGCCTTAGCCTTCTGAGTAACTGGGATTACAGGCACGTGCCACCACACCCGGCTAACTTTTGTATTTTTTAGTAGAGACAGGGTTTCACCATGTTGGCCAGGCTGGTCTCAAACTTCTGACCTCAAATGATCTGCCCATCTCGGCCTCCCAAAATGCTGGAATTACAGGCGTGAGCCACTGTGCCCGGCCAATTATATTTTAAAGTATTCCCTGACCCTACTCTTAGACTGTAGGTTTATTTTTTTTTGTTTTTGTTTTTAGTTTAGGCCCTGTGCAGTATTTCTTTGTATCACCAGCACAGGACCTAGCAAATAGTGCAAAGGCAGTAGTTATGTGGGATGGATAGATGGATTGGTGGATAAATACATGGTGGATGGATTGATGATGGATAGATGGACTGATGGTTGAATGACTGACTGACTGACTGAATGAATGAATGAAAGAGAAGGAAGGGAGGAAATATCTAGCTATTTTTGCATCTTTGTGCTTTAAACAGTTATGAATGATATACTGTTACCCACAACTGTATATATTTGATACTTCTAAGAGTGGACTATTAGTGAGTTTTTATTTTCTCAGCTCGCCTAACATTCCTGGAACATTTGCTTCCTTAATGAACAATAGTTTGTCTTGTATTTGCTCTTCTGGAGCAATCCTATTTTCCTGTAATAATAGAACATTACCAATCACAGCATTTCCAGTTATATATTATTCAGATGGCCCATAAATGTTTTAAGACCCAATAATGAGAGGAATGTGTTAATGCCCGAGATATATGCATACCAAGAGCTAAGTCCAATAGAGCTGACCATCATTCCTCCTCTTCCTAGTGTTTACAGCATTCAGTAATTTATACACCTTTTCTCCATCTTCTTCTAGCAATCAGCAGACCAAGCTCATATTTGGCTTCTTTTATAGCTGCTCATAAATGAGTCCTTCCAGTCTTTTAATCATTTTGGTTGGTCTCCGAGTTTCCTCCAAATCATGAACATCTTTCCAGCATTGAAGTGCTGGCATTAAATGCATTATTCACATGGATTTAGAGGGTGTTGTGAGACATCTATCACATATGATGTGATGTTCCTTGGTGCTGGTTTCTCAGAACTGAAATGCCTTTTTGTTGCTTTTACCCAGCTCTGATGTCAGATTCTCTTCTTTCAGCTCCTATTCCTTAGATGTTTTGAGCTCACATCTTCCCTTGTCACATTCTTTTTTTTTTTTTTTCTTTGAGACAGAGTCTCGCTCTGTCGCCCAGGCTGGAGTGCAGTGGCCGGATCTCAGCTCACTGCAAGCTCCGCCTCCCGGGTTTATGCCATTCTCCTGCCTCAGCCTCCCGAGTAGCTGGGACTACAGGTGCGCCGCCACCTCGCCCGGCTAGTTTTTTGTATTTTTTTTTTTTAGTAGAGACGAGGTTTCACTGGGTTAGCCAGGAAGGTCTCGATCTGACCTCGTGATCCACCTGTCTCGGCCTCCCAAAGTGCTGGGATTACAGGCTTGAGCCACCGCGCCTAGCCTCCTTGTCACATTCTTTTTATGATTCTTGGACTTACATGATTCCTTCTTGAACGACTTTACTACAAACTTGCAAGATAGTTTTAAAAGGTAATGAAGTTCTCAAAACGCTGTTATGATTAACTCAGTTGGTATCTTTTCAGGCATATTTAATTCAGAAAAACAAAAACAAACATTGAGAGCCTACTACATGGAGGGCTGTACTAGGTGCTGGTGGGAGATGGGGTAAAAGATACAAAGATGACTAAGAAGTATATTAATTCTCCCCAGGACTTCCCAGATTATATTTCAGGGGACCACACTCATGCTGTGCTCCAGAAAGTATCATTCACATAGATCATGGGGCAGCAAATTATAGTCCACGGATCAAATTCAGTCCACTGTTATTTGAAGACAGCCATATTCATTCATTTACATATTGTTTGTGGATACTTTTGAACCAAAATGGCACAGTTGAGTAGTTGTGACAGAAACCAAATGGCCACAAAGCCAAAAATACCATATGGCTCTTTACAGAAAACATTTTCCAGCCTCTGACCTAGACTTTAATGTTATCTTCTTTTTATTGGGGTTGTACATCTTAGTGACCCTGCCTCACCACTTAAGAATTCCATGG